GCACTTTACTAATCTGCAGGTCTTGGGTTCGAATCCCGCGATTTACCTATGTGTTTTTCAATTTTCAAATATACATTTATCCGATGTTCTTACGGTGAAAGAAAATATTGTGCAACTTGCACATATATGCGCAGTAATTCAATGATATATGTGAAAGCAATATGCACTGGACCAGCATGGTTTTTTGTGAAGTCATAAAACTTATATGTATTTTGTATATTTAGAAAAAATGGGTAATGAATACCCACAGCTGTGTATGATTCCATAATCTTAATGTCATAAATATTTATTAATTTCAGATCCGGCTTACTTCCCCGGCCGTTGTGCTGAAGTAGTACTTCGGGGTGAAGTGATAGGTAAGATAGGTGTCATCCACCCCACTGTGTTGACAGCCTTCGATCTCACCAACCCTTGCTCTGCTGTCGAGATTAACATCGAGCCATTTATTTAAACTTATTATTTATAAATAAATTTATATTGTTACTAATATTTGTTTTATTTAATTGCATTTTATCCAATATTTCCTGATAATTTTTGATTCGACTAAACTGAATTTGAAAAAAAAAGTACAGACCGAGAATCTGTAGATATTGTTTCTTGTATTAAAAAAGCACATCTTACTAATATTATAAATGCGAATGTTAAGATAGATGGATGGATTTTTGAAGGTACCACCAGCACAGCTGAACGGTTTCCGCTGAAATAGGCTACTTATTAACTTTTTTCAATGTAATATATGGGTATTGGTAATAGGATTTAAAATTATCACAAAGTTGTCGAAAATATTTTTATTGTGTGTAAGGGTAAACAGCACAAACAGTATAAATAATAACTGTAAAATCACATTGTAGACACAAATACAGAACAATGAAAACACATCTTTATATTCACTTAGTCTAAATCTATAAATACATTGATCATTTCAAATGATTTAATAAATACTTTATTATCTGTATACTGTCTTAGTAAAGTTTTATGTTTTATTTTAAAAAAATATTGACATGTGTACATATTTTAATTTCTCTCAGTTTTTTAAACATATAAAATTCACTTGTCACAATATTAATAACCATACTCAGTAGGTCAGAGAATCGGCAAACAGCAAGTAAGTATAATGATACAAAAGGCAGTTATCCTAGAAACCGCGCGCATCGTGAGAAGGTCTGTAGCCTTGACCACTGGTTGTTTGAGTCATGGGATTCCGCAGCGGGTGGTGTTCTATTTTTCATATATGTTTTGTATATATATATATTTGGATATGAAATGTACTATATTAAAAATATAATAAATAAATGTATATATAATGATACAATTAATTTTGCAGTGTAATATAATTATTGTCAATAATTTCTAAAATTTATTTTTATTAAAAATAAATAATTCTTAAGGCACTTTTTCAAAACAATATAATTGTTTGTTTTAAAACAGATCCATTACTTTAGATTTTTTTTTTTAGTTTTACTATTAAAATACTGTATCGTTTTTCAAGTTTTTGTCCCATTTTTAACAAAAATGCCCAAAACGGTTCATTGAAGGAAAAAACTTATGACTTATCAGACAGAGGATTTTTTTTTTTATGAAATTTTGGAAAAAAATGTTGCCTATAGCTGAATAAAACTACTTACATTTAATTTTATAAGAAACTAAATAAATTAAATTATATAATTCGAGCTCTGGGGATAAAATACTGTATTTTTTATGAATTTATTTTAATTTTTGAAATATAAATGAGATAGAATTTAAAAAAGAATTGTTGTAGAGAGTTTGAGTTTGTCATTTTAATTTTTTTGAAATATATAAATACCTTAAAAATGCTTGGAAAGGAAAGGGAACAACGACAAATTTTATTTTTAATTTAATAATATTTTTTAGTTTGAAACTCAGCAACCCCTACAAACTTTAGAGCTTTTATAAAAAAAAACAGATATGAAAAATGCAAAGAAATATGTTTTAACTAATATTTTAACACAAATAAAAAAATTGTGATCTAATAAATTTTAAAATTAAACCCACCCATGTTATGAAATGGTTATAAAAACTGTTATATTTTTTATAAAACCAACAACAAAAAAAAGTTGTTTAATTTATGGGTTATTCTGACATTATTTTATATTACAAAATGATGTCCAAATATGTTGTGAGAGCTTTACTATTAAATTGATAGGATTCTACAAACTGATTGGACGGATGCGTAAGCTGCTTATATAACAACCTTATGAAATTTAATCTAGCAATAATTGAATCTTAAACATTTTTTCTAATTCTGTCCTATTAAAATCTGGAGCTATTATAAATGGGCAGAGGTAGAATGATAACTCTCTTAGATTTGGTGCACTTATTTTTATAACTTTTGCAACTTGCATCGTGACATGTACACATCTAGAAAGACTAAGGTATGTGAGTTTTTGAAATATATTATTCGAGAAATATGCAAGAAGTGCGGTTGTTGAGAAATAACCATGACGTAATTTTAAGGATTGTAAATTTTTAAGGCGATATAGATGCACTAGACTTGAGTCAAATAACGTTTTACATGTCATTATATGTAGAACATGTAAACTTTTACAATTTGCAATATAACACATTATGTTATCGTTCAGAGTGTCACCGTAAATATATAATGCTTGTAAGGTGGACTGTTTAGTTCTGAGCAAGGATTCCAAAAAATCTGCTGGGATATTTTTCATTTTCTCCATATTAATACTGACAAGGTTTACGCATTGTAACATACTATATAAACTGTTTTGTGTGAGAGCAAAATTGGAAAGAATTAATGTTTCCAGATATTTCAATTTGTCAAATGGTAAGTGATACACAAAATTTCCATTTGCATTTTCCGGACTTTGAACGATTAATGAATTTCGAAAACTTAAAAATTTTAAATTCGGCCAGTGACCAAGATCTTCAAAAATGCAACTATCAACTTGAGATATGCTTATTTCTAAATGAGTTAAATTTGGGCAATAGCTTATTAAGGAAGCCCTCACATGGGAATACAATTTGAAATACTGTAATTTAACATTTTTCAAATACTTAGCGACAAAAGGCACAATGTTTTCACTTATCTTTATGTAATTTTTCATACACACAATGAGGCGTGTGTTGTCCCAGATGCATGGCGTGAGGCAGAGCTGCTGCCATCTCACACAGACTTTAGCAACGGCCAGTAATGATTCGAAATCAATCATAGAAAATATATATATGAGTAATTCGTTGGGCAGATCATTTATTGTTAACTGGCTGCATGTTTCAACACCTGTCATTTCAAGGTGCACCATCCTGCAGAACGGTCACCTGCAGTTTGGTAGTCCTGCAAATAAACGTATATGCACTAAATTCATGACCCCAAGAATGTTTTAAATATACTTTAAACACTATTAAAATTACGTAGTAGAATTATTAACGGAGGTCATAAACAAGTACAGGAAGACAAAAGTATGCTTGTTTAACTTTAATTCCAATTTGTTTACACATGATTAGCATATTTAACAGCATACCTGTGGATTACCTTGCTTCTTATTCGAGTTAATTTTATGGTTCGCCTTTTAAGAATCATAATTTAAATACTTCGCTTTAAGCTATTTTCACAACGAATGGTTTAACTTTAAGTAATACTTTCGATTCACGTTTAATTCAATCATTTTAATAAGTACAATAATGTATAAAAATATTTTTTAAGACAATATTAAAAATAACTTTCATCTTTGATCCTATTTTTGTATGACGTTTTACGTCTTCTTTTGACAAATAACTTACGTTTCGTTACTATTATGAGAGAGATAAACATAATACTAAGAAAGTTAAAAGTTTAAATTTTATAACTACAACGCTTTTTTTATTTATTCGTTTATCTTTTTACGTATTTTCCAGTGAATTACTAATTATTAATTATTTTAATATAATCAATTACAACCATGCGGCCTTGCAAACTCGTTAGCGAAGAAGACAATTTTAAAAATACATGTACAGGCTAACTCAAAAACTAAATGCCGCATTTGATAAATCACAGAACTCACGATTAAGAACTATTCACTTTTACTTCTGACTTCTATTGAAAATTGCAATAAATAATATGCACTTTGTTGACACTCTTTTTTTACTTGATTATTCATCTTCATTTTACTCAATTTAGCAGGAATTGTTTACATAAAATGCTTTCATATTTTGTAGACACCAAAAACACTTAACAGCAAGACCATAAAAATAAACTAAACAATAAATGAGAGTTTTATGACATTAATCCCAACCAACTAATTATTTTATTTTTGTGTTAAGATCAATCGCAATACCTTTATATCTTCGACTTATTTCACACACTAACCTCTTTTACATATCGGTCAATAGTTAACACTTCAAATGAAGTATTGATAAGAACACTATTATTTTACATGGAATTGGTTTGGTAGTTCTGGAAACAATCTAAGAAAAGAAAAGGTTAGGCTTCTGTCATAAAAACGACGCTGGGAAGACTAAAAAAATACAGGCAATCTTTCACAAATTATAATATAATATAATTCGGGAAGGAAGTGGGCCCGCTGGAATCCCAGGATTAGCTACAGTGAGCAATAAGATCGAATTGGGGTTGGAAGCCAACTTTACGACCAGGCGAATATGTGTACTTCAGGATTTCAATTTTTGATTTATTGCATAACAAAACATGTACTTTAGGTCCACTAACAACATAAATTATTATTAAATTATTTATTCGCGCCAAAACCATCACGTAAAAAAATGCACTACATTCATGTTGCAGTTGTCATTTGTGTAATGACATAAAGGATAATGTAGGGCATGCAAACAATCCAATAAGAATAATTAAAGCGCGAGCATCTCATGTAAACATGTTAGTGACGCGTAATAAGAGAATATGACCCAAATTATGTCTAATTATAATCCTCCCGTAGATACAATACCTACTGCGTGAGTGAAAGGTGTTTAAACTCGTCTGTCTAAGCTAACGGTCCACCATTTACGTACCAAGTCGCAAGTTTAGTCGCATAGCTGGTTCCACAACAACTTCGACGCATTTACGGGCGTATTAACAAAAAACATAGTTATTGTAACTTAAAATAAGAAACGTCACAAAGTAAGTGCTTTCAAGTAACTTTTATTACTTTAAATTAATAATTTCACGCTAAATTCAACAATAGTTTAAGATAATGATTACAATAGAAAATATTTACAGTTTATTTCCCATGACGTAATGTTTTGCATGCAAATTGTTAGTTAATTAACTCTTGGAACTTATTTGTGCGAAGTACGCGAGTAATATTTTATGTTTTCGAAAAAAATATTTTGTAGATGTACAAATGCAAGTTTTCTTGCTTGTCTTAAATATACCTAAGTGATTACTTGTAATTTTTACGCAGTTCTACATAAATATTTATACTTAGGTTATTTCGAGGTTTCCCAGTCTCTAATTATTTTGTATCTTCAGATTCGACCGGCAATATTATATCATAGTAATAGTGGCTAGCCTCTAGTGTGGTCATAAATGTGACGGGATTAGAAGTTCATTTCTTTATAACTAGATGTCGCTGTACCGAAATTTAATCGTGGTATGGTTATGTTATGTTACCGAAATATAACGTTTGACTAGAGTAATTCTCGTCACTCTGGTTTCCCTTCAAAACGTATAAATCTTTCGCCTTTTACTAAAGATTTCCGTGGAGGGGAACACTCAAATGAGTCTAACCTTATTTTTGACGCCCTACGTTCGTAGGGTAAACATGTTGTTAAAAATATCTAAAAGTCACTTAGTTTATTTCTCATTATGTTATTCAAAATAATGTTATATTTTTGAATAATCATTTTGTAGGTCCACATACGTGTTTGTATACATCGATGTAAAAATGTAATATTTGATCCTTATCTCATCTTAAAGATACCTAAATGATAAGTGAAATATTTTTTTAAGTTCTTTATAACTAATTATTCTTAGGCAATTTATGGATATTTGTACATTTTTATTTTGAGATTGCAATGTTAAACAATCAATTTAAGATGAGGTTTCTCAATGTTTAATTCTTTTTACTGTCGTAAATATCAGATTCGATCGGCAATATGATAGTGATAGAGGCTAGGTTCCAGTGTGGTCACAAATGCGACAGGATAAAAAGTTCTTTTTCTTAAACCTAGATGTCGCTGTATCGAAAGTTAATCGTGGTATGGTTCTGTTATGTAACCGCAATATAGGGTTTGAGTAATAATTTTTCTTTACTCTGGTTTCCCTTCAAAACGTATAAATCTTTCGCCTTTTACTAAAGATTTCCGTGGAGGGGAACACTCAAATGAGTCTAATATTATTTTTGACGGCCTACGTTCGTAGGCCACATAATATAATCATAAAATATTAATAAATATATTTGTGAATTGGTGGTTGTGGATTGTTAAATTATATTAATTTTGCCTAAATGCAGAAATGGTGATGAAATTGTACGCCGTTTCTGATGGACCGCCATCTTTGTCCGTGAGACAGGCGCTCGCTAAGTTGGAGTTGCCTTTCGAGCTGGTGAACGTTGACTTTGGAAAAGGAGAGCATATGACAACCGAATATGCATTGGTATGTCTCAATTACAATTAATTAATGACAAAGCCTTAACCGTTTTTTTCTGAGACCCAAATCTCTGTATAAAACAAATCGTCATCCACGTCATTATCTGTAACAAAACAATGATCACAATGTGTTTTAAATGGAGATTTAGGTATCAGAAACCCACGATAAATCGAATTTATTATTATTATAATCTGATACGGTTAAGATTTACTATCCATCTTTCATAATTAAGTAATATTCCAATAAAAAAATAACATGACAGCTTAAAAGTTAATAGACAAATAATTAATATCACGATTAAACGCATCATTTTGGTTCACGACTAACCATTAGGTTCGTATAGTTTATAACTTGAATCTACAAAGGAAGCTAGCAGGAAGTTACGCGAATGCCTTGAATTAACAACCAACCAAGTTTCGTTGTAAACATCACTTATAACTATGAATTATAATATTTCAGTTGAATCCTCAAAAAGAAATCCCCGTGCTGGATGACGATGGATTCCATCTAAGTGAAAGTAACGCTATTTTACAATACATTTGTGACAAGTACACACCTGGTAATGAACTTTACCCACAAGAAGCGAAGACTAGGTAAGTTCATACATAATTCAAATCTAAAGAGAAAACTCTTTCATTCAATCCTCTTTTTTACATTTATTTTGTTCATATGAAAGCTACTGTGTATACATCTTTTCAAATATCTTGGTGGCTGAAGGTCGTATACATAGTGCACTACCTAAAATTGCGTTCTGAGTAGCGATTCGTACGATGTTCCGAACGAACTTCTGTCTTATTTGCAGTCACCTAAAGACAAGTTGTAAACTGCTACTTTGCTTGTCTTCATTAGATGGACACCACAAATTTGTTTTTAATCCAATTTCATAATATTTTGTCATCAATTTCTTGCTACATTACGCTAATATACAGATTTTTAAAGGTAAACGTATGTTGGTATTTCCAGGGCTATCGTGAACCATCGTCTTTGCTTCAATCTGTCAACTTACTACGCAAATATCTCTGCTTATACCGTAAGTTTGTAGTTGTAATAAAATTCCATTCAACAATATTACAGCTCTCTTAAGTTTTGATTATGAATAAATTTAATTAGTGCACGTCCTGGACGGACGTGCATAACAATAGTTTGATAAATTTTTTCTTCTACATGTGAATCCTTAATTTTATTTCCCGCCTACCTGGTAAGAACTTGTAGAATGAAATTAAATGTTTTATTAGGTTATGATAAATTCTGTATTTAACAACGCATAAAATACTCATTTATTTAACAGATGGCTCCGATATTCTTCGATTACCAACGCACAGAGCTTGGTTTAAAAAAAGTACACATGGCACTCGACGTTTTTGAAACGTACCTACAACGCCTGGGCACTAAATATGCTGCAGCTGACCATCTAACTATCGCTGATTTCCAGCTTATCAACTCGACTATGACTCTAGAAGCTATTGACTTCGACTTTTCTAAGTATACGAAGGTATGTTATCTGTAATTTGTATTTGAACAATTACATTTAGGTCAACAGATACAGAAATATTTATCTGTATTTGGCTTAAAATAAAAAGCTAAATAATTTTTGGATAACTTTAAAATATATTTTATTTTAGTGTTTTTTTTTAATAAACTAGTTTGTTATAATATAATGTATAAAAACACAAATTAAAATAAAACAAAATCTAAGATGCCATATTATATTTACAGATTTACAAATGGTATAACGATTTCAAAACTCAATATCCAGAACTTTGGAAGATATCAGAAGATGCGATGAAAGAAATCCAATATTTCGCAGCGAATCCTCCAGACTTGACTCATCTTAACCACCCCATACATCCGATACGTAAAATTAATAAATAAAATAAATAATTTATTATAATAATACATTGTTTAATCTAACCGGAACCCGAGACACAACGCTTCATGTAGCCGAGGCAGGAGAATGTACAGCAATCGGAGTGGTAAGTACACTGGAAATAAAATCAAAACATTAATTATATCATATTACTAATATTATAAATAAGAATGTTGTATGGATGAATGGATAGATGCTCGCTGAAATTTGTTATAGATATAGAACATAGTCTAATGAATAGATAGAATACCATTTTTTTTAATTCCTTGCGGACGGGGTCGCAGGCGGCAGATAATGCGAAAACCTAAGCTAATATAAATGTGAATGTTTGGATGGATGTTTGTTAGAAGATATCTCCAGAACGGCTACAACTATCTTGATGAAAATTGTCATGAATATAGAAAACATTCTGGAAGAACACATAGATGGAATCACGGGCAACAGCTAGTTCCATATAAAATTCACAACAATCAATTTCATTGTTTTCGATGCACTATGAGTTACTGGAGATCGTCAGGAATGACGAATAAGGAAGAAGATGGACGATATGGTCATAACCTTCAGATTTAATAGAGTCTCGTTGGGCGCAACAGTAAAAAGTGATAATATATTTATTTGTAATCGAATTTTTATAACATTTTGATATTTTATTGACATAAGAATGAGTTAATTGCCTTCATATATTATTGTTTCCATAACACAAGAAAACAAGCCTATTTTTATTGATGTTTTTCCTTAATAAGCTTCACAAGTCTAGAAAACTTACGGTTATTTAGCTTTTATTTAATTACTAGCTGAATTTGAAATCATAATAATTAGTATAATAGCATATGTATTCTTCCAGGCTATGTTCTACATTTTTATCGAATTTCAACAAGATGCATGCAGCCGTTCTAGAGAAACGTAAGATGATTATTTAATATCGAAATAGTCAATAAATTTTACACAAAGCAAAAAATACCAGATTCATTTGTAATAATGTGTAGTTCGTCGGATATTTTTTCTTAATAGTCAAATAGCCAAGTAAAGTTTTATAGTTTTAAGTTTCTTAACGAATAAAATACAAAAATGGTCAAGAAATACATACAAAATCACCAATCTGGCCGCATTTCTTCGTAGTGCTCTCTTCAGGATCCTTAGGCGGTTCCACCGGGATACTCAGCTCGTTGTCTTCAACATCATCCTGAAGAACGGGAACATCCTTGTTTGAGAAGACGCCGTCTTCACTTTTACCTCTTATTAAATTTCCGGTCGCATATTGAGCGACAAGTAACAACGCAACGGACAATAAGAACCACGAAGGAGACATGATGTACGCGGAGTATTGTCGCCTGATAAAGGGTGAATGTCGACATTTAGTTTTATGATATGCTATATATACTCGTCCACGCCCGCATACACAGTGAAACCTCTACCGATAAACATGCCGTTACGTACGCGACAGGAGGATAATCTGACTAATATTATAAACTAGCTGTTGCCCGAGACTCCGTCCGCAAGTAATTAAAAAAAAACCTAATCAGTAACCTATGTGTACTTCCAGCTTAAGTTCTACATCTAACTCCAATTTCAAACGAATTCGTTCAGCCGTTCTGTAGATACTTTCAAACAAACATCCATCCATCCATCCATTCATCTAAACATTCGCATTTATTAGTAAGATGCGAAAATTTAGATGGATGTTTGTCATGTCATTATTAATCTGGAAGAACTTAGACTATTTGTTATGTTTTTTTTTAATTCCAACGTGGACGAAGTCGCGGACGACAGGTAGTGTTTACAATTGGTCAGCATGGTTATTAACAAAGTATTCTATTTTTAAAACTAGTTAGTACTAAATAGTTGAACTACTTTCAAGTACCACTAATACTGACTACAAAGAGAACAAATTTGTCTCTTAACATCATCGTGGTCAAGCGCTAGCTTATTTTATATAAAAAATATCTATTATATTTCAGTCTACTATTTTTTCGATATCCATGTTCACGTAGAAGGTTCCCTACAAATACTTCTACTTTATACTGCAATAAAAAGTTTCTGCAAATTATTTGAATAAGTCCAAACTAATAATGATAATAAACTAAGAATAAACTAATAATGGACTTGAACAATAAAAAACACATCCTGTATGTTGATCTATTTGTTGTTCAAAGTGTTTAACCTTGTTTGCTTTGGATAATTTTTCCTGCTATCTACAAAGTGCAGAAACAACACGAATACTTTTATCGGAATGACCACTTAATAGCTTTCATAATGTATTTTTATATATTAAGAAATATTCGTATGAAGACATATTTTGCAAACCTTAATATCAATCGGTAAAGAATTTACATTTATATTGCAAAAAGTATCACGAAATAGAAATGCTATATCGAAAATGTCTTTTATATTCTCCTTCACGATTTGCTTTCTCCTAATAGTTTTGCAAACTTTAAATTCATGGCAGACACGAATAGTAAGTATAATACATATATGTTTCTCTATACATTCACATACGGACTTGTACCGTCCAGAAGCGCGGTATGAAGAACATCCGAAACCGACGTGCATGTGTCAGGACCGCGCCAAAAGGAGGTTCGTGGTCACTGCCTATCCCTCTGTGTAACGAGCGTGAGTCATGTTGTTGTCCTCTATTCATATTAGGACATCAAAAATTACTAAAGTTTGTTTGTTGCAGTTCGTAATTGTATTATTTAAATCATGCGAAAGATGTTTGTTGTTTGTTACAATAATTTTTTTATATAAATTCATGATAAATAAATAAAACAAGTTCGTATGAATTAAACACTTATTTATTAATCATCTAGAAGCGAAATGGTAGTGGATTTTTCCACAATAAAGGATTTTGAGTTGGAGTTCTATCTTGGCCTCTGGATGGACCGCCGAGTATATTCAAGCCTCCGTTCAGTGGTACCGGCAGAGCTACTGGTACTTCTAACTTGGGCAAATTAAGCAAACGACCAAGGAATTCCGTGCAAAAAGCGCCACTGATTCTGTCTGCCATGTTGCCCCATAAACCCATCTGGCAAAATCTGAAATCACCAAAGAATACGTTTATATTGTTACATATTTTGCGACATAGTTAGATCTTAATGTTATTGTGATACAGGTCTGACATTTTTATTTTTTTAATCCTATTCTTGGCAAAGGCATTATTACTAATCACCTTATAGTACGTAAGCGATCAGCGTCGCCCATTAATGTATAAATTAAAAAACTAAAAAAGACAACAAGAAAGTAAAGGTCATAGTCGTATTTACCTGAAATTCGAATCCACAGTAATCTTGTCTGAGATCTTGAGGAACTGATCATTATCTTGAGAGAAGGGCATGAAACCGAACGTTTTGGATTGATTAGCCGAAGGGCCAAGGTTGTGCGCAAATTTGCTGATGAGACCAACAAATGAGTCTCTAACGCGATGGTCAGTGTTGGACACGTCCAGTCCGAGGGGATTTCCCGATTCGTCTAACGGCTCGAAGATATAAGCAAGCTCGTCCCCATGAGATGGCCCTTTCTTTGGAACCTTCACTTTTGAGTCGCCTTCCTCTGTAAGCAAAGATTTCCTGCTTTATTTCAATTGAAAATTAGTGTTTTTTGAATGATTCAAATGTCATGGAGATTAAGCTTAGCGAAACTATTATAACAGGTCGTAACTGCACTTCATGAGTTAGGTTAGAACTTTCATTGTTGTCACGGTGATGTACTTAATTCCGCTTTTGAAAACGTTATGCTTCACCCTTGCTTTATAGTAAACTTGTCTCCAGCGATATTATCAAGTTAATACTACTTTTATTGCAATTAATACTTCAGGACAGCTTATTATCTTCCTTTTTATCCTATAAAATACTTACGCGTCAGTGCAATACCAGGCAGGAAGTGGTTGCCTTTAGTGAGGTTGCCAGCGTGTTCAAAGCTGTACAAGAAAGCGGGGCTACCTGCACCCCATGCGCGCACTGTTTGGTACGCCGGGAAATTGAATAGCGCATCACCTGAAGATATACGATAGATTTATTTTAACTTTTATTATAATAAAATCATCTAATTATTGATAATTTTATAACCTATATACTTTGTTTTAAAGCCCTTGGATTCAATACACATTATTTTTTCGATAGTAGTAATTCTAGCTATCGACAAATGAACGGTCGAAGAGTTGTTTTCTGTTAATTATTTATTACTCTTATAAAGTTGAAAGAGACCTTGTCCCAGAGGGTCCCCTTTTCACAATCGTTGCCAGGACTACCTGATACTAATCCTTAATGCATAAAAAAATAAAAGCCTCTGCCCGTTATAGAGGGGTTCGTTGTACTGTAATAATATAAGGGTGGGCCGCCAGCTGCGTTATGGATGAGCACTTGGTATAATCTTTTTTTTATTTAAGTATTTTGGTAATATTGTATAATCTTCAATCTATAGACTGTCAGCGAAATAATGGTATAAATTGGTACCACAGCCATTGAAATCAACCCTATTTTATTTAATTATTTACTAACACAATACACTACAATTAAATTATCTCAGCCTGCTTGTATAATATCTAGATTTTTTTAAAAAGGTTTATTTTCAATAATTTCATACTTTATAAGATTATTAGTGAAGTTATAAAAACATTTTGATACATACTTGTAGCATCAACTATTTGTGACAGCCCATCAACGGCCTTTGAGGTGCTGTCAAACAACGCCTGGTAATAGTCTGGCAAAGGTATTAGGGAATCCACTCCCAATGCCTTCAATGGTATCAGACCATCAACTCCTTGCACCACATCACGCAATCCACCTATCAGCTCCTTCTTTATAAAGTCTTGAACTTCACCCAACTTGCCGGTTAGGAAAGTGGAAAATTTGCCTGAAAGAATTCAACACTCAGAAATCGATAGGAATATGATGGGGCAATTTAAACTGCAAGAGTCCAACAGTAAACTGAGAATTGTTTCCGATAAACATCTGATGCAACCGCTTAAAGCTTGAAGCATTGTATCCCTTACCGAACACTGCTTTGGATGTCTCCGCGGAGACGACGCCGGTGAGGAGCGGGCAGTGCTGGCGGCGACGCTGCAGCGACTGCGAGGGTTGCTCCGACACGAGAGGCGGGAGTGCGCGGCGGTCGTCCTCTTCTTCAACACGGGCTCCGGATCCTATTCACATCACATACTGACACACCTCATAACATACCCGAATACATAATGCGGACCACTTTTTTCAATGGTAGCAGGTGCGTGAACGCTCCGAACATAGAAACACCACTTCCTCACAGACTACAGGGAAGTAGATCCATCAAGTTATTAATGTTGCGAAAAACACGTTTTCTGCTCAAAAAAGAGGTAAAACAGTCCAAAAAGACATGTATGGACCAGGACGTGGTTTATAATTAAGAAAGGTATTATTCAATTCTACATTCTACCTATAACAATACGCTTACCTGATCTGCCAGATATCTCATCAAGAAATGTCTTCGTATCAACCATGTCTATATTCATATCACTATCCGCCTGGAACATGTCACACGTATAAACAACAAAAAATAACACCCATATTATATATTGCCACATTATTATCAGCTTGTTATATAAATCACAAATAAACTTACCAATATTATCTTTTCGACTGGAATCTTCTTTAGACATTGCATCAATCTTTCAGCAGGCTTGTGTGGACACCCAGTTCTCTCTGCTAGTTCCTTGGCATGAGCGTCTGGGTCACTCCTGACGGCTCCAGGAGAGAGCGGTGTGCCAGACAGGGCGGCTACACCCGCTGCGCTGCGTCCTTCCGGCGACAGTCCCAAAATGGACGCCGCACTCGCACCTGATCCTTGTCCCATCATCACTATGCGGTTTTTATCGCCGCCAAAGAATTCAATATATTCTTGGGTCTGTAACCGGATAATAAAATTAGAAGTTTTGGAATTTCGACTCTCTCTAGATAATTTATTGTGTAAACGCAAGGATCATACAAATCATTTTGGAAATGAAATTATACTTTAATATGACGCGCTTGACGAGTCTGAGCAAGCTCTACTCGTATAATAGAACCCTTACCCATGTAAGAGCAGCTCTCAGATCGAATAGGCCAGCATTTCCTGGGGCATCTCTTTGTCCGGTACTCAAATAGCCCAGAGAGCCGAGCCGGTATTGCACTGTTACTAAAATTGTGTCCTTCTGGGCTAAGTGTTGACCCTAAAACACATACATGATCAATGAATAACAATTTTGTCTATGAATTTCTTGCGTTCTTTATTAAGGAAACCTTTCCTCACCCCGTATGGAGCTATTGATCCACTTCGATAATTCCCTCCGTGTACGAAAAATACTACAGGGCAACCTGTGAAAAATTAATAGCAAAATTGTAAAGCAGTTTGTTGTTGCATTCAGAGTTATTTGTGGAAGGATTTATGTCCTATTTAAAAAACATCTTGATCGAAAATGTAAAAAAATCAAAATAACACGTTGGCCGTTCCCAACAACTATTAAATGCTCGAAATATAATTAAAAAAAAACTCATGTTCAGTTTCGTAATCAATGAAAACAGTATTCTTATGGGTTTTATCAACAACCTTCTTCCTCTCCGGGCATTTTTGGTGCGTATATATTAAGACATAAGCAGTCTTCATGTCCGACTGCTTTCCTCGGGTTCCATGGGTCCAGCTGAGGGCACGGTGCGCATTGCTTCGTCGCTGTCAATTCACCGCTTAGAAAACGTCGAATTGGCCTCTGGAATCTTCTATTACCAACTGGAGGTTCAGCATATCTAAACAAAGATTAAGTACATTATTGTCGTTATGTGTTGCGTAAATTCATTAATCGAAGAATACTTAAAATTACCCCGACGTAAAATAGACATAAGTAACAATTTAATCATTTACTAACATACCTTTATTTCTATGCATCCAAAAAAACAGGATGTGTTTGATAATTTACTCAATTAATTTTTAACAAATCCCAAACTATAGGTATATTATTAATTTTGGTAATCATAATAAGCCGGGACTTTTTATCGACGCTTCCGTTGTAATAGAATTTGCGCTGATTTGATACGTAATTAAATGCATGCAAAAGTAGTATACGTACTCCATCGGGATGTGGACAGATTGATTATGAGTAATTAAGTGATTTAAACATTAACATGACAATAAAGTTTTTGTAATATTACAATGGAAGAAAATATTTAAAAACAATGAGGTTAAATTTATGAATGTTACTTATGTGCGTAGAAATTCTTAAATAAGCAGCATTGACTAATTTTCATTCAACAAAACTACTACTACAAATTATCTAAAAGTTAAAAAGAATTCAAAAAATATATTAATGATTTAAAAAAGATAAAATAGCACCCAAATGTGCTTCTCATCTATAGTGCTATGTCAGCAGAATGCAAGCGAAGATGAATTTCTAAGATTACCCATTGGTGGCCATTGGGTGCCAAAGGTTGATATGGTTGAGTCATATTGTTTTTGTAAGGTTTACAACGCGCCAGTGACTTTACGAACGTTGGTGACTTAATGTTTTTCAAACAAGTAAGTATAAAACTTTATCGAACACATACCTTATGCCTAAGAAAGTATAATATCCACGTGCATCGTTCTTGTAACCCTCGAGTCGTGCGCTTCGGCCATGTTTTTGGACAAAAACTACAGCCGAATCTGGCTCCGGTGGCGAGGCTGGGTCTCCGCCGACCACCGCAGTGGCGGGCGTGCTCATCAACGCCACCGCACCAACGACCACCCACAAACGTAGACCAGACATCACTAACCATAACCATATCCTGTGTAAGCTCGTGCCAGCTTCCCGCGATATCTCTAATCTCTACCACTGAATTCATATTTGTACCTACTATGCCAAATTTTTTAATTCATCTATCTGTTTGCTTATTGTTGAATCATATGCTAGAGACAATTTTCACACTGCTTTGTCTAAGAATTTAATAATAGGGTGTTACAAATCTGGTTGTTTAATGTAACAAAGAGTTTTACACACTGTTATTAAGATGAAAATTACATAAAAGACATGACAAGCAGTCCAGTTCTAGTAATTTGAGATTATTTTTCGTTTCTTCTGCAGTACTTCAGTGCAATAGTTTCGAACAATCTTCAGTATTTTGGTGGCTCAGAACATAGGACGAGTTACTGCGCAGACACATCTTAAGATAAAGCTAAGCGTAAAGGGTAGCGCGGAGATGGAAATACGTAGCGCACCGATGACCTTGAGCCGCCAAGATATTTGTAAAGACTTAAGTGCTTTGTACACAACGCGATGTGAATTTTCCAAACATGCCGATTTTTTTTGTGTGTCCAAGTGTCTAGTGTAATTGTAAAATTTTCGAATAGGTCGTTTATACAAAAAGCGACAGGCAACATAAAAGTACGCGTCCATTGGCCTGAGTCGGACGCACCGCACACACGGCCTGCAACGGATTGTTTGTTGATTGTTGTTGCGCCTTTCCATGGTGGCGCGGATAATGGACGCATTACTACGTAAAAGCACACAAATCAACTAAAACCCGCTGCGGGCCGTGCGTACGATGCGTCCGGCGCGGGCCAATGGTCATGTACCCTAATGCCTCGTTTACATTAACCTTGCAGTTGCCGCCCACTCATTTTTGAAAATATTACATTGTCAATATGACATTCTTATGCGTGATTTACACAAGGCCGGCTCAGTAATCCAGTACCGCTCGAAATCAGCGCTGGCATAATATCTGTTCCAATTACAATTGTACGGACGATTTAAGAGACACGTTTTTATACAGAGACTTCTAATATGACATAAGTACTTACTGGCTTTACTTATATTTTCCTTTCCAATTACTTATGACAGTACAATTAGACAAGACATTAACACCCAAATTTTTCGTTGGTCTACAACTAGGATAATCTAAACGCTAACTGGCGTCAGTGAGCCTACACAGTCCATGCCGGAAAAACCTAATAAAAGGCCAGCTTAGTAAACCAGTAGTGCTGGCCTACCATGGATTGTTTTTGCGTTATTGTTTACATTATACCAGCCCAGTATAAGCAGTCCATTATATAATGCCAGCTCATAGTTATCCCGTCGAAAGACACATGCTGCCGCTTGTTAGTAGAATTAAAAAAAAAGTGTAAAAAGGTAAAAAGTGTAGAAAAGTAAAAGCAATTAAAAATTTAAAAAAAAGTTTTATATTTATTCTGTCAGCGCCAACCGCGATAGCAGCGCCTCTCTCACCAGTACATATATCCTTGTTTGAGTATAAAATACAAGTGTTATTTTTTGAATAGAATATTCTGCATTTGCTGCAAGATATTCTATTCAAAAAAAATTAATTTAATGGCAAAGAAAATTAATTCGCAATGGCTGTGCGGAGATCAAAAGTAGACCAACATTGAAGTTACCTACTGGAATCTTCCCTGGATCCAGTGGTGACTATTTATTCCAGTGCCGATTACGATTTGTACTGCATTACTGGATTGAAATTATGTACGACAACGACACGAAAAGCATTAGGGCTCTTATCAGCACTAGCTAAATAAATCAGTTCAACAGAAAAGAGCTAAGGTTCTTAAATATTTACGGTTGAATGAGTAATACTACATTTTGAAAATCATTTAAAAAAAACAACAATGACCAAAACATAAAACAACTTTTATACAAGAAGAAAAAACTGTTACACATAGAGAAAAAAATCTTAAAAAAGAAAATAAGATTAATAATAATTGCTTCTTTTTTCAACAATGCTCAAAAAAAAATTTTGTAATTTTAAAAACATTGCAAAGTTTTACCCCGAAAATTAGGCAGATCTCAAATACTGACAACACAGAAATTTTAACTAAATTATTTAATTATCAACCTTAACGCTGGGCACTAAAGTATAATTTACTTCCCAGTGACAAATGTATTGATCCATGTTTTCTGTCTCTTTCTAAAAGCGGTGGAAGAGTGTCGGGGTATTTAATATATTAATTTTAATTTTTGTTCTATGGAGCAATTACATGAAATGTTTTCAGATCTGAAATATTCAAAAAGGAATCGAACCCACCAAACAAAGTTATTACACAAACACGTTTTGTGATGAATTTTATTATTTTTTTGGAAGAAATAATTTTAATAACTCCGTCACAATTGCATTCTTAATTAAGTTCTCTCTTCATTTTGTTACTAATAAGATTACATATTTCCTTAACATACTTCCTAGAATTGTTTAAAAAAAATATTAAAATGATTGGAAATGTTCCGACACTGCGTACGTCGTACCTTTGCGACGTATCACGATCGATACGTTTTATTTGGGAAATTAACTATTTTTTTGCTACTGCTTAATTTTATTAAGTGTGGAACTATATTTTGTCGTATTTAATGTTAAAAAATGATAATATTTCATCGTATTTTTACGATAAACATTTAAAAACGTTATGGGGAAATTTTAAATTGAATATCAACACTGTGACGACACACGATACGTCGCGTTTGCGTCATCATACCGTGAACAGCACTCAAACGGGGAGGACGTGGCGTGGATTGATTAGAAACATAACTTATTTTTTCTTTTAAATGTTTCTAATGTTGGAATTATAAAGTACAAAGCTTAGGATAGGTATGTTTTTACATATTAATTAATTTAATATAAATTTTATTCAAGATTAAATGTGGCGTTTGTTCATTTTAAAATTTTGCTTTGTTACAGGTTTTCAAAGAAGTCGCCGCCATCATGGCGTCGTCCGACGAACAATTTTCACTATGCTGGAACAATTTCCATGCGAATATGTCAGCAGGCTTTCATGGCCTGCTGTCACGTGGAGATTTGGTCGATGTAACCTTGGCTGCCGAAGGCAGAATTTTACAAGCACACAAATTAGTTTTATCCGTATGTTCTCCATACTTTCAAGAAATGTTTAAAATGAATCCAAACCAGCATCCGATAGGTATGTAAATATTCTCGTTGGTTTTTTGTATGGTTACATAATTTAACAAAATGTTAATCGCCTATTTTTTGTTTCAGTATTTTTAAAAGATGTTAGTCATTCAGCGCTAAGAGACTTATTACAGTTTATGTATCAAGGTGAAGTTAATGTTAAGCAAGAAGAATTAGCGTCGTTTATTAGTACCGCGGAACAACTTCAAGTTAAAGGTTTAACCGGTAACCAAAATGAAGAAAGTTCCACGCCATCCAAACCAAAGCCGACCTCGCGGCCAGGCCCGAGGTCGTCACAACAACGGATATCTGCTAAGTTAGAGACTGATTTAGATTCTAAGCCCTCCTTAACTCCAGTAGCAATTAAGAGACCAAATAGGCCATCAATAGCATCAAATAATTCTTCATCATCTCAAAGTGGACCTGCAAAAAGGAAATGTGTTGACCCATTAGAAGCTGGACCCTCTGGTTCTACAAAAGATGAATTTGTGACGATACCGGACGAAGATGAAAACAACGCTGTGGCACCGAAAATGGAACCTGAATTTGTTAACGAAAGCATGTGGGATGATGACGATGAAGGCGCTAACAATGACGAAACGAATTTTGGCGAAGATGACTCTAATATGGAAATGTCTGGTAAGATTAATTAAACTGAAGCTTTTTATTGGTCGTTTGTGGATACTATTGTTCTTATTGTCTAATATAAATTGTTCTTCTTAGGTTTTGATGGCTCTGCGACTGGCGATGGCAATATATCTGGAGGTGGGGAGGGTGGAGCTGTTGGGGATGCACAAGGTAGGTTTCCAAATTTGATCGTTGGACAGTTTCCTGCTACAAGAGTAGCTAGAAGCTGGCCATGATAGTTATGGCGTGTGGAATCAAAGCTAGATATTGTATTTTATTTTTTCAATTAGTTTCGAAATCCAGCTTTTATTCTGCATGTCATTTAGATTAGTAATGAAATTTGTAAGCTTAGTTTTAGGTAGTTTTTAGTTATTTGGTTAGTAATTTTTTTTAAATGTTCCAGGGTTAATAATCCTGTGTTAAAAGGTTATGTTTAGAACATAAATATAACCTTTTAAATGGTAATACATTGGTATTGGTAAATGGTATGGGTATATATACAATATAAAAATATTGCTGGTTTTAAGGTATAAAAAGGTAACTGATATTATGGTAAAACTTATTTTTGATGAGGTAACAAATGGTATGCCATTCTACGGAGGTGCAGTCATTGGTATGGTTCGAGAACGGTATGTGGTAGGTATATCGGTAAGTAAAAGATCAAAGAAAACAATTTTAAAGCGACAAAGTTTTGGATTTCCGTAGAATGCAAAACTGCATTGGTGCTACGAAATTCATAGCTTACGACGCTATGTACGAAAAAATCTGTTTTCATCCGAAAAAGGTTGATAAACTACACTGGAAATTGACTAATTCTTACTAAAATTGCTGTTCTGGAGGATTGATCTTTTGGTCTGATTTATGCTATTTGACAAAATCTTAGTTCGAGATCGAGCTTCCAACAGCGCTGGATTGGTATGCCAGGACAGTAGTACTAAATCTTCGCTGGCATTACGAGAACACCACCTTATGCCAAGTTCGCTTCTCTGGCCTACTGTACTGGCATAAAATCAGATTTAAGCGTGTAGTGAATGGAATAGATTGATGGGTGAACTTGTCCTATGGGTTTTTTCAATGTCAAAACTTAAATATTTTACGCAAATCAACTCCCATGAAATTATGCCACCACTTGTATAATTCAATTTTCAGTCCTTTTCTAAACTGTAGTATTCCCTAAACTTATTTTCCTTGACCGTACTTATATCCTTTTGTCTATGCGACTGCTCAAAACTTGGACCTATTTTATATAGTTTCATTACTTAAATGCTGCTTATAAAGTAGTCCATGTTTCCATGAAGGTTAAAATCCTTTTTGTTGTAAGCATATAATGAGAACAATTTCCTGGGAAATATATTCTTTTCCAAGTTGATATCCTTATTTCATAAAGCTGGCTACTGAACATCTATGGGCTATAATGTATCATGTTACACGGCGAGAATTTATGCATTCTGGAAATGAGTGTTACGAGTAAACCAGCTGCAAAAAACTGCTCTATGCAAATGTTACACATAGTAACGACGGTCGGCACCCAGGATTATGCAGCGTGCTCGTTGTGGTAGTTCAAGAAACTTTAAAGGTTGTTTTAAAGTATTTCTTTGAAAGTTATGTAAACAGCTCCGAAAATTAAAGTGTAAGAAGTTAGTCCGCAGACAATCTTGTTCACAGTAAGTAATCAGTTTCAGCGTTTGCAACAGTCAACAAAGGCGTAAAAATTAAAAAAATGCCCATTCAATAAACTTTTTTTTAATACAGTCTTGTTTCAATTATTCTTCACTAATTATCCTAGATCAATAGAGGTTGCAGTAACTTAGAGATATAATGGGGACAACTGGAGTAAAACAGTATTCTAAAATAAGGCACCACTAACATGTGGAAACCAAAAAAATAATATAAACAAGAAATTTGACGTTTATGTGTCAAATTAAACATATATAACTGTACCAACATAGGTATCAACACAATATAAAACGCCACGAAAACTATTATTGCTTAAAACAAAGGTTCGTTCCTGGTTTCGATCCCAGTCCCGCCCAAAAACTAACAGTGTATGTATCTGTGTTTATACACAGTTCAGGCTACTATATACACAATTATGATATAAATTTGATATTCAACATAAGAAGACCAAGCAGCCGTATCCCATCCTGCAAGGCAGTCAACGCATTCTCATCATCTGGTGTTGCAAACTTTCATGATCGTTGGTGATCCCTTTCTACAAAGGGAACACGACTTCCGTTTGCCATCCTATTCATATAAAAAACAATAGTTCAGGCTTCATTTGATATTGCTCAAATGCAAGAAAACTAAATCCTTAAATGATAAAACAAATGTAGACTGTGTATAGTTTGGATTTTAGATTCTTAAAAGCTGCAAGCATGCAACTTATAAATGTAGTTCCGACTTCACAAATAGATGACGCTAGTAGTCAGTAAAATTGAAATCGAATGAATGTTTCCTTAGTTATGCCTTGGTTTAAAAAATATCTTACTATCGTTTTTATTTGTTTTTTTAATTTTGTTGCCATTCGATATTATAATAATTCCTCTTGGCCTGCTTATAAATATAGATTAGTTTTTTTCATTGATTTTTTTCCATAATTATACAACTCATACTTTTTCTTTTATTTAAATTAGAAATAAGAAATATCTTAAAGATATTCTCACACATTTAGAATGTGTTAATGATGAATAATCATTAAAACAAAAAGTTTCAAATATCGCCAAGTAAAATATGGAATATTAAACTGTGCGTAGAAACAAACGCAATTCCGTTATTTGTGGTTGTCGTATAAACGCCATGAGATCTATGGTTGCAATTGTGTCATTGCAGGATTGTTTACTATTTTGGGAATAAATCCTGAACTGTGTTAGTTTTGTGAATGATATTATATTGTGTTTGTGATTACAGTACCAGGAAAGTGTATTTATATAATGTTTGTTACTAGACATGGAGAATTTGGACCTGAAATTTTGGTTTGTGTCTGAACGTGTTTACGTCAAATGTTTTATAAAATTTTGTGTTTGGTGTTGTTATAATGTGAGTATGTTTACTAGTGACAATTAAAATGGATAATCGCCTGGTATGTACATTTACTCTTTGTTATTTAAAGTTGTGAAATGCGTTGGTGGATATGAAAGCTGTTAACATGTCGCGTAAACGAATGTTGATTGTCAAACCTAGGTCCAAGTTTTACAATAAACACTAAAGCGGTATTAATAAATTCATTCTTTGTGTTATTGAAATAAAGAAAATATACATTTATCTTAGTATACTTTTTCGTAAACTACTTAATTACAATGTCGCTTGTAAACATAACCTATAAAACAAAAACATCTCAGTAATTTACGTTTTACTTCTTTACTCAGTTTGTTGGTTTGAAATATAGGTTATACTTCATTTTGTGTATAAATCGGATGATCCTTCCCAGTAATCTCGAAGGTTTGAGTGTAAAATATAAAATTCTAATATTTACCTCATTTAAAATCCATATTGTGACCATTAAGCTCAGTTAAATCGATATTTTACTAAATTAGCAACGCCTTATAATAACCTAGAACAACTTGGTACATGACATTTTATTGTAAATGTTGTCTTTTACTTTTGATATACTGATAGTCTATCCTTCATTGCATTCAGCCCCTTTAAATTAATAATTGAAGGTAATTTTGAAATTAACATTAATTCTTAATATAATAATATGTGTCTATTTTCTATACTAAAAACTGTACATTTATTAGAAGTACATAATATTAATTAACTAACTAAAAGTACTGTGGAAAAAATATATAATATGTTAATGCTTTTTAATTATTAACACTTTTATACCCTGCTGTTTATGCTCCTTTAATTATCACAAATACATATAAAAATATGTGTATCCCATCTTCCTTCTGTATACTGTAATTCTCTTATAGTCGATAAATTAATAAGTAGTTGATTGAGGAAATATATTTGGTAAACAATACAAAATAACAATTTATTATTTGTTGTTATTGGTTTAATTGATAGTTTCTTCACAAAGCTATTGTTATCTATTGTATAATATGTTGGACTACTCAAATAAAACTAAACTGTTTACATATGAATGACATTGTGTCTTATATAGTATATTTTTCATAAATATGACTGGCAAGCTGTAATTTGTGGAGTACTGCCCTTAATTATATTTAGGCAGCTATAAAATACACATTTTATGTAAATGATGAGTGAATCCCAATGACTATAATGTTGCAAAGAGTTATAATTCAAGATCTTTGCAGTAATTGCCTTGAAAGGTCAACTGAATGACTCATTGTGGATGAGGACCGAGAGCAACAGCTGTAAGCATCCTTTGTATAGCTCCTACGTAAGTGATCCCGTCAGAACTGAACTGAATTTGATTAAAATTTTACATGGAATTTGGGACACATCTTTAAGTCTAATAGTAATTCAATATTTTGATGTTTAAAATCTTTTTTATGTAGTTTTATTGTAAAGACACATCACCTTAATGATCACCATCAGCTCACTTTATGTCCCCACTGAGGAGCCTGGAGCCTACCCCAACTTAGAGGTGACTAGGCCATAGTCAACCATGCTGGCCCAATGCATGTTGACTTCACACATATCTTTAAACTCTTAGGCAGATATGTTCAGGTTGCATCACAATGTTTTCCTTCACCATAAGAACACCTAAATAGATGGAGCTAACATCCTATCCAGTTTGAAACTTAACTATTGTAAACTAAATTCTTTATTGTTTCCTTAGAGTTTAGGTAATCACACCACACAGTTCTCTTAAAAAAAATCTGTAAATCATTACATCACTTTAGAAAATATTTACTTCATTAGTACCTATAAAAACCCTACAAAAAGATGATACTGGTTATGTTAAAATACAAGTTCTACAAAGTATAAAAATTAATTAGGCAAATATCAGGTTATGATAATCTTTTGAGTGAGATTAAAATAACATAGTTTAATAGATTTGCCTAAAGGTTTTACTTTCCAGAAGTACACTTCAGTTAATTTATTCTTCTCGTTTACTACTTTTGGTTTTAAATTTCGAATGAGCAAGGATCTGGACAAATGACTTGCTTTATCTAAATACTAGCTAACGCCCGCGACTCCGTCCGCGCGGAAAAAAAAATAATAATTAGTAGGTTATGTGTTCTTCCACACTACATTCTACA